TTTTAAAAAGTTATCTTTCCGTTTCAGAGATAAGTAGATTTGGGTGTCGTCTGCATAACAATGAAAAGAAATGCCATATTTTCTTAAAATACATCCTGGGGAAGCATGTACTGAGATAAAAGGAGAGGCCCCAGGATAGATCCCTGGGGGGCCCCACAGTGCAGAGGTGCTGAGGAGGAGATACAGTCACCTATGCTGACAGAAAAAATCCTGTCGGACAGGTAAGATTTAACCCAGTCCAATGCGGTGCCTTTAATGGCCGCATAACGCTCCAGGCGGGAGATGGGTATGTTGTGATCAACTGTGTCAAATGCTGCTGTAAGATGTAAAAGAATCAAGATGGCATGATCACCGGAATCACTTTGAAGTGAGCTCGAACCGCACTGTGACCGGGACCTGTTTGCTGTACGGCTCAGTTCCTGTGTGCCACTGGAAAAGCGCCATAAGCAGCCATCTTACTGCCCTGCCTTACACACACAGTCACATGAGGCACATGAGACTCTCTCTGTATTGCAAGTGGAAAAAAGCGGGATCGTCAGAGTGCAAATGTGGTGAAGAGATGTAGAGTTGCCCCCCCCCCCCCCCCCAAAAGGGCTCCTTCTGGTGGAAACTCTAGGGAGGGGTGAACTGCAGCCCTGCCCTGAACTTCACCTGGTGTGTGGCTGATCCAGCATCATTTACTNGAGGAGCACCAATCACTGCCCTGCTCTCAGCCCTGTTCCAAGGAGCACCAATCACTGGCCCATTTTCAGCCCCATTCCGAGGAGCACCAATCACTGCCCTGCTCTCAGCCTCGTTCCGAGGAGCACCAATCACTGCCCTGCTCTCAGCACCATTCCAAGAAGTACCAGTCACTGCCCTGCTCTCAGCCCTGTTCCGAGGAGCACCAATCACTGGCCCATTTTCAGCCGCATTCCGAGGAGCACCAATCACTGCTCTGCACTCAAACCCGTTCTATCACTCCCTTCCGGGCAGCTCGGCAACTGCAATATTTTACATGTGTTAAAAATAAAATACAATAAATAAACAAATAAAAAGAAATTGACCAACATGAGGGGCCTATACAGAGTTTATAGAGCTCCTTGTGGTAATGCAAATATGTCTGGCACAGCAGTGCATTCAGACCATTATTCTGCTTGCTAAAGCTGCCGGACAGGACACACACAAAAAAAAAAAAATTTTTTAAATCACTGCTCTGCTCTCAGCACCATTCCAAGAAGTACCAATCACTACCCTGTTCTCAGCCCTGTTCCGAGGAGCACCAATCACTACCCTGTTCTCAGCCCTGTTCCGAGGAGCACCAATCACTGCCCTGCTCTCAGCACCATCCCGAGGAGCACCAGTCACTGCCCTGCTCTCAGCCCTGTTCCGAGGAGCACCAATCACTGCCCTGCTCTCAGCACCATCCTGAGGAGCACCAATCACTGCCCTGCTCTCAGCCCCATTCCTAGGAGCACCAGTCACTACCGAGCTCTCAGCCCCGTTCTGATGAGTACCATCCACTACTTTCATAGCAGCAAAAAAAATCTCCAGATCCCCCTTTCACTGTGTTACTGCTGACCATTGATTGGCTACAATAGTCATATCATCACCTAGTTGTCCAATGGGATTTTGGCTCCATGGAGAAATTGATATTTAAAAACACACAAACAAAAACAGTTAGATCATAGTGAGGATATCTGCGATAACGGGAAATCAGGAAACAGGAATCACTGAGGCCGTAAACCCGAGACTGTCGATAAGGACAGTAAACACTCTCCGTATGGCTGGGGGGTGGGGGCTGTGTTGGGTGGGGGGGTTGTTTAGAGACGGGCATTGTGTTAAGGCCATGGAATCACCTGCATCTGGTGCCAACTAAGACATTAATCTTCTGCTGCGGGATGCGGGCAGCCTGCAGATGACTGCTGCTACTAAAAAGATCGAGAAGGAAATAAAGGTGGGGGGCAGGAGTAATTTACCCTAAAGATAATCTGGGGGGGGCAATAGGAGAGGGAGCCTTTAGCAGACACATATACACAGAGAAGCAGAAGCTGGGTGTGTGTGAGCTGCGTGCTGCTTTTGCTGTGGAAGACCATCGCATTTATTTCAGTGAAACTGTAACAGTATCGTGTCTAATGGCGCTTTTTCCACCAAGAACTGAGCCGCACCCACGCGGACAGGGCACCGCCATCTGATTGGTCGAAATGCTTGAAAACAGACAGTGGGGGGGTATTCTAACATTCAGGGGTAAGCCACAGTTTAGGGGCCAGGGGACAGACAAGACTCGGTCACCTGTTTTAGTCTAGACTTTCTGGCAGTCAACAAAAACAGATCAGCAGGCCTGAGAGACCTAGCTGAGGTATAAGGAGTAATAAGGAGTAATAATAAGGATAAGGAGTAATCAGATCAGCAGGCCTGAGAGACCTAGCTGAGGTATAAGGAGTAATCAGGTCAGTAAGGCAACTAGAACAAGTCCTCTAATAGCTTATAAGGTGAACTGGAGACCCTTGTGGTTTATCTTAGACTGTATTGGCAGCCAGTGGAGGTACTGGTGCGATGTGGTCACGCCTCTTAGTGCCTGTGTTGGAACACCCCCGAATTCAGGGAGTTACGGAGAATGAGCTGAGATTAAATAAACACACGTTTAGCTTTTTCAAAATCATCAAATGATTAAAAAGGGCTCGGCTTTGGATAAAAGTCTTAATTGAAGGAAACTTGACTTTATAACTGAGCTGATCTATTTGTCCATTTTAAAATTGCTATCCATAAACACGCCCAAATTCTTTGCGGAGGACTTAATGTAATGTTCCAGGGAACCTAGGTTAATCTGGGGGGAATCACTGGTCCCACTGGGCCGAAAAATGAGGACCTTGGTTTTAATCTCATTGAAGTTTAAAAAATGAAGGCCAACCAGGCTTTGATGTCCTCCAGGCAGTTTTAAAAAGTTATCTTTCCGTTTCAGAGATAAGTAGATTTGGGTGTCGTCTGCATAACAATGAAAAGAAATGCCATATTTTCTTAAAATACATCCTGGGGAAGCATGTACTGAGATAAAAGGAGAGGCCCCAGGATAGATCCCTGGGGGGCCCCACAGTGCAGAGGTGCTGAGGAGGAGATACAGTCACCTATGCTGACAGAAAAAATCCTGTCGGACAGGTAAGATTTAACCCAGTCCAATGCGGTGCCTTTAATGGCCGCATAACGCTCCAGGCGGGAGATGGGTATGTTGTGATCAACTGTGTCAAATGCTGCTGTAAGATGTAAAAGAATCAAGATGGCATGATCACCGGAATCACTTTGAAGTGAGCTCGAACCGCACTGTGACCGGGACCTGTTTGCTGTACGGCTCAGTTCCTGTGTGCCACTGGAAAAGCGCCATAAGCAGCCATCTTACTGCCCTGCCTTACACACACAGTCACATGAGGCACATGAGACTCTCTCTGTATTGCAAGTGGAAAAAAGCGGGATCGTCAGAGTGCAAATGTGGTGAAGAGATGTAGAGTTGCCCCCCCCCCCCCCCCCGAAAAAGGGCTCCTTCTGGTGGAAACTCTAGGGAGGGGTGAACTGCAGCCCTGCCCTGAACTTCACCTGGTGTGTGGCTGATCCAGCATCATTTACTGAAGACACATGGATTATACAATTTACACGGCACTATGGGACTCAAATCACAGGCTGCCGACTCAGAGGCGGAACACTGAAATGAGCTAAAGGTACCCGTGTTCGGGTAAAAACACATGTGGGGACCTACGAGTGTCCCCGTGCCCCCCCGTGCCCTCCCGTGCCCCCCCTCCTGATTGCTCTCCTGTCCATTCTGGGGGAAACTTAAAACCCAGGATGTCACCCTCGACTCCAAGCCTCTGCCCAGGCCGTCTGGTAATTAGCGAGATCAGCCTGGCTGGCAGTGAAAGAGCAGCCCAGCTGCTTAGCTCCGTGAGACAGGTCAGCCCAGAATAGCCACCTGACATATGGCAGGGAATCCACTCTTTCACTTGTCAGGATTTCCAGGGGTGGCTGGAGGAGGGTGTGGGGGGAGCGGAGACACTCGTGGGCAGCTAAAGGTGTCTACGTATATATTGACATTTAAGCAGACACACTTGTACAGGCTACACAATTTCACATGACTGCACACAGCTACATTACAAAACTCTCCACCAGACCTAACTCCCCAATGCCCATCCATCCATCCATCCATCCATCCATCCATCTGTCCATTTTCAGTACAGGGCTATAGTAATAGCAACAATCATTTGATTATACAGCTCGATAATATTTTATTTTTGCTTTTCCTTTTTATGAACCATTTATCCGATTAGTAGCAAATTCTTAGTGTGGAGTCAGATTTCATAAAGGTCATGATCTGCATGACGCTCTTTCAAGTGTGTGTGTGTGTGTATGTGTCTGTGTGTCTGGTTTTTGTAATTATTACATCATGGGGACCAGATTTCCCCACACTGTGATAAAAACCTGTAACTTTTCACTGTGTGGGGACATTTTTTTCGGTCCCCACAAGGATAACCTCAATTTTATGAAAACCTGTGACTGCAATCGAAAAACTAAAAACGCCAAAAGTCTTTTGTTTGGTTAGTTATGGTTCAGGTTAGGGCTGGGTGGGGGTTAAGAGTGTCATATTTGGGCGTAGGGTTATTCCAGCAGAAATTAATGGAGTCACCATAAAAAAAAATACATGGACTGTGTGTGTGTGTGTGTGTGTGNGGGGGGGGGGGTTGATCGAGTAGGAAATGTGTCAGACAGGTGTCTGGCTCGGCACTGTCTGGCTTCCCCCCCAGCCGACTCCCTTGGTTCCCTGAGGACACAGAAATAGGTCGCTAAGGTGTTAGGGATCCCATGGATAGGGATGGCGAACCTGCCCTGCCCCCCCCCTATTCTGACAGCTTCCAGTCAAAGTAATGAGAGTGAATTTCCAGCTGGATGTGTGACATCAGCATCCTCTGTCAGGGAGTGTTTGTATGTAGTTTGTACCTGCAAAGTGAATAAAGCCTCTTCTCTCATTATCCCCAAAGTCACATGACAAGGGGAGGAGCCAATCAGGTGGAAGTATGTGCTCAAAAGCCTTGTGCAGCACTAGGAGGCGAAGAGGCTGCTGACAGAACTTAGGAATGCCGCGGCTGAGCGGATGCTTTAGCGGTAAGTAATGGGGTCCCCCATGGGGCCGTGTGAGGGGGGGCATCTTCCAGGTGGGCATTCGGTCCTGACAGGTCACATGATGCATGACGCCAGAAGGTCAGATGATGCTGAGATGGCGATGGGATCTGGGTGTCTTAATTTTGGAAAAAAAGAAACGGGGGGGAGGGGTTAGGGGGCGGCCATCCACACAGCCATGTGTGAGGGTGCATGTGTGTGCGTGGGTTATGTATATATTACTATGTGAGGAACAAATGTCCCCACAATGTGATACAAACCTGTTATTTTGACATTGTGGGGACCACCTTTTTCGGTCCTCTCAGGTGGAAACTCAATTTTATAAAAATCTGTGACTGCAATCAATAAACTAATAATGCCAGAAGTCTCGTATTTTGTTTGGTTACTTATGGTTAAGGTTAGGGCTGGGTAGGGTTAGGGTTGTCATTGCTGTGTACAGCCGATGCTGACCCAGACTCACCTTGTTTACTAAGTGACTAAATGTTTAATCATGGAGCTCCACAGTGGTTTCGGTTTGGTTCATTAATTAGCCTTAACCTTGACCTGTCCACGCCCTCTTTTTGCGCTGTTTTTTTTTGTCTCAATATGTGATTAGGATACGATAGATCAGTAAAACCTGACTTACATATTTAATGTCCTAATGAACTTGGATGTAAATAAATTACATACACTGTAATTTACATAAACTTAAACTGTGATGCAGTAAGTAGAGCAGTGTGAAGGAGCCTCCTGGTCAGCTTGCCCCCCCTCCCCCTTGGCGCCCCCCCCCCCCTTGGCGGCCACCCCCCCCTTGGCAGCCCGGCCTCAGAGGTGCCGCTGCTGACACTGTGTCAAACCTCAGATACACCCCAGTGTTCTTCTGCAAACAGCGCCCCCTACCTCCCCTCTGTGTCTCTGCATCGTGTTCGCAGTCATCCGCCAGTAGGATGCCTCGCTCTCTCTCCCACCTTGGTTTCCTCTGTACGTTTACCCTCCTAAAGAAATTTCCTCTACTTCTCACTCAGAAGTTCACCTGCTAACTGCTGGTTCCTTGATTTCCACAGTTCAGCGTTGAAATCCACTGATTCAAACTCCTCTCCAGAATTTCCTTCCGGTTCACGTATCTGTCTAATTCAGGATTTGCTGCTTAGGAAATTGTGATGGCTGCGGTGCTGTCTATGCCGAAAATGAGCAGGCAAACATCCCATCAAGCCGTTGCCATGGAGACCACATGGCACATGCCAGTCAGTCGCCTCCTCTCTGTCTCCTCTGCTGACTGGTGCAGTTGGTTTAGACAACAGAGCTACCAGGACCGACAGGCAGTAGTATTAACAGCATCACTTCCATTTGCATGTATGTTGTCTGGTGTCGCGTTCCTCTCAATTTGGGGATCTGATGAACTGGTGGGCAGTGTGCAGAGTGGCGGAAATAGAGACATGACGAGGAAGAGACAGGAAGTGCCCTGATGTGACTACAATAGGGCCGGGATTTCAAATCTGTAGTCCAGTTATGGCTGTGTGTAAAATGTCAAACACTTCCGCATTTACTGACGTAAACAATGGCAGTAATAATATGTCTGGGGTTACACCATCTGTTGTGAATAAGCATTGTTAGACCCCATTGTTGTCATTAACCAGGAAATCTGAAACTGCAGCTGTCCTGCAGGTAATTCTCCGTCGGTTTGCACCTTGTGGCGTCCTGGAGAAGCACCGTTAATCTGACTGCATGACCTCCCATCCTCTCCAGGGATGTTCCATGAGCGAGATGGGAAGCCAGTGAGACAGATCTTCAAGATGAAGCTGGAAATAATCCCGCAAGACATGAATCAGTGGAGGGATGCAGACTTTGCCCGGAACTGCACGTACATCGTCCCGGACCAGGCCTCGGAACCAGGCTTTGGGGTTCCCCGTGCCGTGACCTCCATCCCGCGAAACCTCACCTTTGGCTATGGCCCGGACAACGAGGTACGGCACACCCTCAGGGTCAAAGGTCTCATTAGCCGCAGCCTCCAACAAACTCAGTCTGTGGCTGCAGTGTTTGTTGGCTCGCACATCATGGGGCAGCCTAGTTTGGTTTTTTGGCTCATACCATCTCACGCAATCCTCCATCCTCTCTGCATTCCTCTCTGCCTCTGTCTGGCATAAATGCAGCTAGTGTTTCTGAATTGTACCTTCAATAAAACAACAAAAAATATTTCCCTGACAAAACGGCAAAAATTTTCTGTATGATTGCATAATTTCATTCCCGCATGGATGGTTTCCTAATTGGATGATTCATATTTACCACTTTGGCTAATGGCTGTGGGTTGTCATAACATGTTTGTTTAAAAAACCTATCATTTTACCTACACAAGTAAAGTTAAGGAAGGACAGTGACGTCTGTGTCTGTTTTTAAAGTCCTTTCAAAAATGTTTCACTGAAAACCAAATATGATTTGCCACAATATGGTGTATCTTCAACTTGAGAGGCAGCCGTCGCTCAGTTACGTGACTCTTATCTGTGACACCTTGGTACAGCCGCCAGTGCGGAGCTGGCCTGCACTCGACCGACGGGGGCGGCTCGCTCTCTGCGTCCTGTTTGCAGCAGCTGAGCTGATCTTCCTCGCGCTGGTTCTCGCATCGGTGCCAGCGACATGCTAAGAGGCGCTGCTCCGCCGGCGCCACGGGGCACGGTGTCCGTGCTCCGGCTGTTTCAGCGGTACAACTCCGAAAAGAGGAAAGAGAACATGACCACGGCGGGTAGCGGCATGGGGCAAGCTGTGCGGCCCGCTGCAGCAGCTAAAGCGCAGACTCAGGCACACGCGCATGCAGCCACATGTAAACGGAAACCTGCAGCAAACGAGTGAGAAAAGTGTCAAAGGAGGTGTGAAAACCGACAATGCGAATGGGCCCGATAACAATCGATTTCTTTTCCCACTTTCACAGCCAATGCTGGTGAGAAGTCAGAGTTCCTCTTTCCTCGAAGAGAGCGTCATTGTCTGCGTGTTGCGAGTGTGCCCCAGCACCCTCGCCCGCGTCCTGGAGCTTGCATGCTCGCTTGCACGCATGCAGTCATGCACGCACATACACACACACACACACACACCTGCTCAGTCTTACCCATCATCCTCTGCGATGGTTGATTGGCTTGAGGCTGAGGGGGGCAGTGGCTGAAGATGGAAAAAGAAATTGACACAAGCAAAAACAAAAGTGTGGATTGCACTAGCATGGGAGGGGAGAGGGTCTCCACCCACACTCCCGAGGTCCCTGACCACATCACTGTCACGCTAATTTCAGTAGTAACTAGATGCGTTAGTGTGCTCTGTGTGTATATTTCTGCTGTTCCTGCAAGAAAGGCCACAAGAATTCTTGTGTGTGGAAGTGGCCAGTGGTTGGGGGGAGGGGGACTCTGATGTGCTTCTGATGGGGTGATGTGCAGCTCTGTGGACTAGCCATGTAATCAGAAGGTTGCTAGTTCAAATCCCAGAATGGGCTGGGCCTTTGAGCGAGCCCCTTAACCATTATCGCTGCAGGGACTGCCATGCCTGTATGTCGCTATGTGAACAAAATGCCTGTAACTGCTCCATTTGGGGAGGATCAGCGCATTCATTTAGACATGCGGCCGTTTCCAAAGCTGCTGTGGAAGCCACCCATCCAGTCATATCTGTGGAAATCTATGAAAACAGTGAAGAAACCCCCCCAGTGAATGGCAGCTCAGTGTCTATAGGGTGGTATAAACACAGGTGCCGCCTGGTGTTTGATATGATGTCATATCTGTCACCACCTGTGGGGCTGAGGAGTGAAGGGCTTGTGGGCTGTGAGGTCACTGGGGTCCTTTCCTGCAGGTCACGGGAGTCTTTAGTAAGGAGTACATTCCCCAGGACACCCGATTCGGGCCCCTTGAGGGGGACATCTACACCCGCGATGGCGTCCCTCCGCAAGCCAGCAGAAGGTACTTCTGGAGGGTGAGTGTCTGAGTCCATCTTCCTCTCATCATTGTCCAAATATGCATGGACACACATGGAAATGCAGGAATCAGTGAAACACGCAGAAATGCAGCGAGCAGAGACACAAAGAAATGCAATGAACAGCAACACACACAGAAACGCAGCGAGCAGAGACACAAGGAAATGCAATGAACAGCAACACACATGGAAATACAGGCAGCAGACACACACAAAAACGTAGCAAGCCGCAACACACATGGAAACGCAGCGAGCAGAGACACAAACATGAACACAGAGAGCAGTGACAAGGAACAGCAACACACACAGAAACACAGCAAGTCACAACATGGAAACGCAGTGAACAGCAACACACACAAAGGGAACAATGACACATAAGGAAATGCAGGGATCAGCGACACACACACACAGAAATGCTGGGAACAGCAACACATAGAAACACAGGAACAGAGACACACACAAAGGGAACAGTGACACACATAGGAAGGCAGGGAGCAGTGACATGGAAATGCAGTTGTGACACACAGAAACACAGCAAACTCCCACACTGACCCTCAGTGACACCCATGGAAACTGGAAGATCTCTGACATGGACATTTTGCAGGGTTTTACAATCCGCTCCTGACAGAAAGTTAGATGTGTAAGCCAGCACTCCTCCCTTGTGAGTCAAATGCAGAAGGACTGCGGTACATTTCCCAGGGTATGGTGTGTTGGACTGGCCAGGATGTTACGGGAAGCTTCATGCTGGGGCCGACGCTGAGTGGCAGGGCAGGCTGCTGTTCCTGGCTGGACCGCAGCTCGGCGCCTCCATTCCTCTCCTGTGTTGCTGGGGAGTGTGATGCTTCGCCTTATGGCTAACGGGGGGTCTGAGGCCCATAGCAGGTGTCAATGCAGATGTTGCAACAGTGCAGACATCCACCTGCGTGACAAATCCTGCTCTCCTTTCTGTTTGTCTGCTTCTCTCTCCCTCACGCACCCCACGCGATTCGGCTCCCACACACCCACTCTCTCTCTCTCTCTCTCTCACTCTCTCCCCGGGGCCTGTTGTCTCATCAAGGACTTTTTCGGAGGCGTAAAAATGTTTCTCTTTACTCACCCCTGATCTCTTTCCTCCCTGAGTTTCCTGTAACTAGTCTGACTTCCCGTTCAGCAGAGGAGGGGCGGGGGGGTACGTGTCGAAGACTCAGATAGACCATCAGATCGTTCATGAGACGCGCAGGTGCGTGGGCGTGTGTGTGTGCGCGCTCCACACATCTCACAATGATGTCACATCCTCCTGAGTGCCGGGCACTGGATCGAGTCACCAGTGTGGTTCTGCTGTGGTGGGGGAGGGGGGTCACGCCCCCCCTCCGCCCTCCTCAGACCCTCCGGGTCGTAAAAGACAGATCGAAGCTTGTCTGGTGGGGGTGATGTCGTGCACATGAACTCTTCACATGGAGGTGATGGATGTAGGTGGTGACTTCTGAGGGTGGTGCGCTGGCAACTCAGGGGTTAAGTCAGGAGGGGTGGGCAGGTCTTACCGGAGGCTGCTCGTCGGGACTTGACTCAGCAGGGTGAAACCCCTCCCAGACAGCTGTGTCACTGTGTGTCTGTGTGTGTGTGTGCGTGTGTGTGTGTGTGTGTGTGTGTGGGTGTGGGTGAGCACATGGTTCCGCCTGCAGGTCAGCACTGATAAAGGGAGGAAGCAAGCTGATTTAAGCCAGTGACTTAGTGACTGACAGAGCGCCTGAGTGACTGACAGAGCGACTGAGTGACTGAACACACGGCGTCTGAGGACGGTCGCACGGCACCCAGCGCAGCATTTACAGTGGCACGGGGGCTGGCAGAACAGCACAGGGAGAGAGGGACAGTACAGCGCAGGAAGCAGGCTCGGCAGAGCACAGGCGAGGAGGCGCAGTGGCACGGAGGCACAGGGAGGAGTACGCCACAGCACAGCCGAGGAGGCGCGGCAGAACATTGCTTGGACTGCAAACCTGACAGCATATACATGGCAGAGGTGATGATACCGCCCTGTCCCAGGACCCGCTCTCTCCAGCTTGGGACCCGCTCTTTCTGTCCCGGGACCCGCTCTCTCCGGCTTGGGACCCGCTCTTTCTGTCCCGGGACCCGCTCTCTCCGGCTTGGGACCCGCTCTTTCTGTCCCGGGACCTGCTGTTTCTGTCCTGGAACCCACTCTTTCCATTCTGTTGGACTGCCGGTCTGCAGAATATTGTCTTGCTGGGTGAGGGTGAGTGTTCACCCCAAGGTTCTGGAGCAGCAGTGTGCCCCTTTTGGGTTTGGGTCAGGACACAGGCCACGATGCTGCTGCTCTGTGCCTCTGCTTGTCCTCATTCTGACATGACTGACCCCTGAGATTTATGGGAGATGTCTGCTGAAGATTCATTAATTTATTCATCTTGCAGAAACTGTCATACACAGTCTGAGCAGCAAAAAATTGTAAATTTTTAATTGATTGTTAATTATTGTAAATCCCATATCAAAGATGTTTGTGAAATATATGATGCCGGGACATGTTTAAGATGTTGTGTAGGAGACATATGACCCACAAACAATGCTGTATGACAATGTCTATTCTGTTTGGCGATGTGCAGGGTCTGTTCTATTGAATGTGTACAGGGTCAGTTCTGTTTCGAGGTGTTCAGGGTCAGTTTTGTTTGGCAGTGTTCTGTGTTTGTTCTGTTTGTCAGTGTGCAAGGTCTGTTCTGCTCGCCGGTTTTCAGAGTCTGTTCTGTTTTCCAGTGTTCAGGTTCTGTTCTGTTTGCCAGTGTTCAGGATCTGTTCTTATTGGCAGTGTTCAGAATCTGTTCTGATGAAGGTGTAAACAGTCAGTTTGGTTGATAGTTAACAGGGTCTGTTCTATTTCGCAGTGTTCAGATTCGATTTGGTGGTGCGCCGTGTGTCTTGAGGTGTTTAGCTGGTCTGTGTGAATATTTGGCACACATGTGGAGGTGTCCAGTGCTCACTTTGGTCCTCTTGCCTTTCCATCGCAGATCTATTATGGAGGACAGTTGCATCACTTTGTTGACGGTTACAATGTGCATCGCAGCAATTGGATGCGCTATGTCAACCCGCCCCGCTCACCGGCTGAACAGAACCTGGTGGCGTGCCAGGATGGGCATGACATCTTCTTCTACACGATCCGGCCTGTGGACACGCAGCAGGAGCTGCTGGTGTGGTACAGCCAGGAGTTCCTCCAGAAGCTGCATAGATCAGAGACCCAGGAAAGATCTCAAAGTGAGTTCCTCGTGTGTGTGTGTGTGTGTGTGCATGTGTACAGTATGCGAGCGGGTATACCTATCCTTATGGGGACATAATGTCCCCATAACGTGATAAATATCCTGTTTTTTTTCCCTTATGGAGACCGGTTTCCTGGTCTCCATAAGGGAAAACTCTATTTTATAAAAATCAGTGAATGCTATGAAAAAACTAAAAATGTAAAAAAAACTCTTGTATTTTGTTAGGTTTCTTATGGTTATGGTTAGGGCAGGGTAGGGGTTAAGGTCATCATGTTGTGATTAGAGTTTTCCCCATAGAAATGCATGGAGAGTCCCCACAAAGATATAATTACAAACCTGTGTACGTGTGTGTGCGTGTGTGTGTGTGTGTGTGAGAGAGAGAGAGAGAGAGAGAGGGAGAGAGATAATGCATCGTTCAGGGAAACCAGGCAGATCAGCCTGCGGGAAAAACTGTGAGAGGAGATTTTGTACCAGGGACCATGACTGATACCTGCTTGTACTGCACGTGATACAGAGGAGTGTCACTGGACAGATGCTGAGAATGAGGAAGCTAGAAAGGACACGGGTTTCCAAGGAATGCTGGTTTAGGATGCCATGACATGGTCAGCAATCAACCATGCTCAGCTTGCTGGTATTTTCCTAAGAACACGCTCGTAAGATGCCAGTGCATTTATCAGTACGTGTGTGAGATCATGGGTTTGTGTGTCAGTGAATTTGCACGGGAGCAAGCAGTAAAATCCCCCTAATGCTTCCATCTGTTGTTTCAGAACCAAGTAAGCTGATAAATTAAGTGAGTCGCAAAAAAGAAAAGTTGTTTTCTGAATTTCACTCATATTGGTTAAATACCTATAATGCATCACGCCCGCCAGTACTGTTCATATTTTAAATCAAAGGAGTCAATAGGTAACAGCAGGGGAGTGTTAACCCCCACCCAGCCCTAACCATAACCATAAGTAACCCAAAAATATAATACAAGACTTTTGGCATTTAAATTTTTTTGATTGCATTCAACGATCTTTGTGGGAACCTGAAAAAATGGTCCCCACAATGTCAAAATAACCAGCTTTTATTACATTGTGGGGGACAACTCATAAACACACACACGCTCAAAGTGAGATGCCTGATTCACGCAGACACACATATGCTCACTCATACATTTGCACCGTCTGACACACCTTAGAGAGCTCATTGAAACAGTGTGATTTATTCACACATTCACACATTCGTGCGTTGGTGTACAATTCACACACAGTCTTTACACTGAGGTTCTTTCACTTGACACACACGAATAATCTGTCGATCAATCCTGACTTGATTGCAGTGAGTTATATCTTGCTTGATGAATGTGTCCCCAAGAGAGAGTCACTATGACTCCATGAACTGGTCATATTGCATTTTTCTCTTATCCATCGTTGGGCTGATACACATTCAAACATTCAGCACTCAGCCCCCTTTTCCATGCCCTATAGGCTCTTCTTTTCACCACATTATGTTGGATTCTTGTTTTATTTTTAATGTCCTTGTACAATCTTTAAATGCATTTTTCTCTCAGATGAATTTGGTGACATAGCAGAAAGATTATGGTTCATGAAATTTTCTAAATGACATACACAGGAAACGAAGACGTTCTTTCGAAAGCTCACATACTTTTTGTGCCAGTAAAACGTCTCTGGATTTAAGTGGTTATGAAAGGGAAAGTTACCTCAGTCCCCCCAGCCGCTTCCCCCGTTATAAGTGGATACTTTCAATACTTCTATAGCTTTTTTCCACTACTAGGTTGCTGTCTTCTTCAAACCTTTTTAAATTATTATTACGCTGAGTATTTAAACTAAATGAAATTAAACTAAATATCCATCTGGCCACCCATACACAGCAAAGGGCATTTAAATGTTACTAAAGCTGTTTACTCAAGCATTCCGCTTCAGTTTCTCGCTAACAACGGTGCAGCTTTCGTGCTGATTCCTACCAGTTGAAAACAAACTAAATGTTGGCCTTTTATAGTTAATTTGATCATTTACCCACCAAACCGTAGCCTGACCTGACTGATATGTCATTACCGTTTGTGTGTTTGCTCCCCGCTCGGGTATTTGGCAGCAAGGGGGGAGGGTTAGCGCCTGGTGGATGTAACAAACGCTTCCAAACTTCTGCAACCGCCGTCGTGTCATGTGACGCGGCGGGCTCAGCGTGCTCGGGGGCACAAGGGACACTTACAGCAAATGTCGAGGTAAAAAACTTTAAGCCGATGACAATAACAATGACGGGGACAGGTTCTCACGCCTCTTTCCTGTTTTGGCTAACCGGCGCAAAGCCACCTCAAAGGAGCGTGACGGCGCATTTATCAAGAAAGGGGGCGCCACAGGGACAGAGGGCACATACTCGGAGAATCCCGCAGTGTCACTTCTCTGATTCACACTGCTGGCTCCCGTGCAGATGGGCTGTCGCCCGGGGAGGTGTCCCAGCAGCGCGGCAAGGTGTCAGAAAAGCAGAACCCCGAGAAAAGGGCACGTGGTCATGGTGCAGCGTGACCGGCAACTGTGTGTGGGGTGCAGAGCCTGAGTGTGAGGGGAAGTGTGCGCAGCACGAGACCGATCCCTCTCACTTTCCCTTTCCGGCACTGAAATCACTCACACACACACGTACACGCACACTCAGACACACACATATGTACGCGCACAGTCACACACACACACACACACACACACACACAAGTGCGCACACACATACAGGCACACTTAGACAAACAGACACACAGACAGACACACGCATACACATACACACTCAGACACACATAAACACACAGACACTGGCATGAGCTGACAGTTCCTCACATACACTGATATACTTACAGTCACAGATACAGATACTGGACCAAACACGTCAGGCAGGTGCTTATTTTCCTGTTTATATGATCAGATAATATCACACGCGCTGTTCAGTCTCAGGTCTGCTTCTCCGCCTGCATCTGTGCTGCTTGTCGCTCTCCTCCGCTTCGTCTGTTAAGGTGCCTAACAGGTCCTCCTCCTAACTGCAGAGCTGCTGGACATAGACCCCAGAAGCCCCGGCCTCCACAGGCACGTAGAGCCGGAGCGGAGCCCAGACTCGCTGGCTGGAGAGGAGGAGAAGACCCTGAGGCACGTCAATGTGGAGGCCCTGCAGAGGGACACTCCCCCTGACACCCCAGACGAGCATCTCATGGACGTCAGGCAGACGGAGAAGCAGCGGGCACCCTGCAGACCGTCGCCCCGCCCTGACCAGCGAGAGCTTTCCCTGGGCACAGAGGCCTACGCTTCCCCCCTGCCCCCCCACCAGCACGGGCTGTATGACCCCTGCCAAGGCCTGCTGCCCCACCCCCTCTACCCTACCTCTACCCCCTTGGCATGCCCCTACCCACTGCTCTCACCTTATTCTGCCCATTACCCACGCCTGCTCCAGTATTCCCCACCGTATCCAGGTCTGCTGCCCCCTGCAGACTCCACAGTGTATGGCAGCTGCCTGACCAACGACTGCCTGCCCGTCTCTACAGCGGCTTGCCCAGGCATGCTGCCCAGCGCCTTGCCCTACCTCACCCCGCCACATGGTGGCCTGAAAGAGCGGCCCCCTAATATGTCCCCTCCCAGGGCCCCCCCCAGCCCCCCCAAGCCTCCTCGGCCACCCCCATCTCGCTGCGCTGATTCTGTCGACCACAGGCCAGCCACACCTGATGAAAGTTCCGGGTCGGGCCACCGGTCGCTGCCATACCCGCTGAAGAAGCAGAATGGCAAGATCAAGTATGAGTGTAATGTCTGCAGAAAGACTTTTGGACAGCTGTCCAACCTCAAGGTGAGCAAGACGCCCTAAAGCCAAGCCCCACTGGTGCTGGCCTGTCTGCCGCGGTGGCACTGTTTGGCGTGTGTGCGTGTGCTGGCTCCGCTTGACGCCGACTTGTGTGCCTTTTAGGTGCACCTGCGTGTCCACAGCGGCGAGAGGCCCTTCCAGTGTCACGTGTGCAAGAAGAGCTTCACTCAGCTGGCCCACCTGCAGAAGCACCACCTAGTTCACACAGGAGAGAAGCCACATGAGTGTCAGGTAAACAGAAGGTGCCATGGGTTAGGGTCCTGCGCCTATGATTGGACGTTTGCTGGTCCCAAGGTCGGCAGAGTGATGTCACCATTGGGTCCTTGAGCACAGCCCTTGCACACAATTACTCTAGGGACTGTCTGACCCTATTTTCTTGGAAACGGATAAACAAACAGGGAAGGGACATGCAGAGACAGCCTGCGCTAGGGGAGCGTTTTAGGAGATTCAAGGATGCAAAAGTGTCAATGCAGAGAGAGGCCCCTTCCTTCAGTATACATTTTTGCTCGGGGCCCCTGTGTGCTGAAGGCCAGGGCCTTTCTCTGCCTCTGCACTGTGTGGGGCTGCACTGCAAAGCTCCGCACTGACCTATGGGTGACGCTCGCTCTGCGAGGTGCGGCCTGCTTTCCTGTTCTTCACGGCCTGCCCCCCTCCCCCTCCAGGTGTGTCATAAGCGTTTCAGCAGCACCAGCAACCTGAAGACACACCTACGTCTGCACTTGGGTGAGAAGCCCTACCAGTGCAAGCTCTGCAGCACCAAGTTCACGCAGTACATCCACCTGAAGCTGCACCGGCGGCTGCATGACGGCCCAGAGCGGCCCCACCGCTGCCCGCGCTGCCCCCTCACCTTCCTGCACCGCTTCTCCCTGGCCCTGCACCAGCGCGATGGCTGCGGCGCCAACCTGCCCCCAGCCGTCGCTGAGCTCATCGACCGCTTTGACAGCAGCGCCGAGGCCGACGGCGTACCCGAGAGCGGCGATGCCGCCCTGGCCGAGGCAGCCCTGGGCCGCTGGCTCGCCCGGGAGATGGAGCTCAAGGAGGACCGGGGCCTCCTTCAGCTACTGGGGCTCAAGCCACGCCACCCAAGCCCCGCCCCAAGTCCTGCCACAAGCCCCGCACCCAGTGGCGCCACCACATACCAGGGGCGTGCCAGTGTGCTGCACCTGTGCAGCCAGCCGCTGGTGAAGGCGGAGGTGGAGTGAGCACTTCCTGCGGACGTCCGCTTCGCCTCGTCCACACCTAGACTGCGAATTTCAGGGGGGGGGAGGGGCGGTCTTAGGGTCCAACACAGAGACACCAAAATGAGGCTCCTACGATTGCGCTTCCGGTCGCCGCTGACGACCAGGGCTGGCCCCTAAGCGACGGACCGCGTCCACCGTTCTGTAGAAACATTTGTTCTTATGCAGATCAACGTACGCGAAAGCATGCAGGTGCCGAACTTCTTACATTTTTTTAAGCTTTATCATGTATTGGCACACATGTGTCACCACTCAGGGATAACCTGAGTTATTTGGTTCCCCTCTCGGGAATGATGGCACGCTGTTTTTGTAGGGTGTTACTGCACTTCTGAAAGAAAAAATCACCTGCGAAGGGAGAGAGATGGCCTCTGTGCCCAACTAAGGGCGTGTGTGACATCGTGTGTGTGTGTGTGTGTGTGTGTGCGTGTGTGTGTGTGTGTGTGAGGCCAACACAGAAGAAAGAGGAAGGAGCAGCATGTTTGTTTTGGACACGATGGAGGACTTTCCTGGGAAAATTCAGGCCCATGTTCCTATTTCACACACAAAGGGTTGTATTCTTATTTTGTTTTGTTTTTTATTCTTGTCTGTTTTAAAAAATCTCAGCCAAAGATGCAAAAAGGAATCAGACCTGTCACCCATTATAAAGAGGGGAAAATCCCAGCAATTTGCATTTTTGTACCTGGCAGCTACTTTGCCGAGCAGAGACATGCACTGGTCAGCACAAGCACACACTGGTCAGCACAAGCACATACTGGTCAGCACAAGCACATACTGGTCAGCACAAGCCAGCAGTGCAATGACCAGCATTACTGCCTCAGTTCCTGTAGCGGCCTGAACGGACACTACCTTGTGGGGTTGGGGGGCACTATGCAAGACCCTTTTATTTTTAATTAAAACAGGGTATAGATGAAGGCATGTTCTACAGCAACTTGTCTGTTTGTGTTTGTTTTTTGTTTATATTTGTTTTTGCAGACAAATATATAGGAATTCAGCTTCTCTGTCCCTTACTGCCTGCATAGTAATAGTTTCAGGTCCTTCACTGTAGCAGCATTTGTGGACCCACTTCGCTCACAAGCACAGAACATTCACAGCATGCCAAACAACCGAAAGCACACAGGCTGATGGGAACCACACAGCCCCCCCACCCTGCACTCTCCCTAGGCCTTGCCCCCACCCGCTGTAACATCGACGCCCCGCTATAGCATACAGTACCTCTGTAAATCTCAGGTTAATTACGTACCAGTTTCAGTTTACATGTTGCAGAGTTAAGCTGTGGGCTTGGACTTCATGTATGTGTCTAGTCATAATAGATTAACTTGCTATTGTGTTTTATGTCTCTTTCATAACTGGAAAAAACAGGGAATTAAGCTCTGTTACTGACTCATGACAGGATGCCAGTGAAACCATGCGTGTCATTAAGTAACTGTATACTTTTTGTACATTATGTCCTTATCTGTTAGGTTTATTTTTGCCTAGAACTTGATACTTTGTATATGAGAGACTATTTTGATTTGATATTCATAAAATATGTAGATAATATTAAACCACTTCTTGTTCTGTTCGGTGTCTCTGTTGATTTTTGTGTGCAGAATTGCAAGACATACTTTTCACTGCACATTTGGAGAAATGTAAATTTTCTGCTTGCGCGTTGAACAAAATGTTGTTCTACCCCAAAAAGAACATAAAATTGTCCTTTGAACGCAGGCACACAATCTTACTGCGCATCATGCTACTTCATCCAGCTGATGCTGACCACCATGCATCTGCGTTTCCGTCTCTTTTATTAATCACTGAACCCCATCTGACTCCAGGCCGTCTGGTGCCGATCGTTTCCCCGTTGCGCTTCTCGAGAAAAGCCCTGTTACAAACAAACTGGCTCTGCTGCTTATTTTCTTGGAAATCGACCAACGTGAGACCATGCAGTCATATTCAAGCTGAGATTTAGCCGGTCATTTTCTGTCTATTCGAAAACGAAACCCGGACGCGTTAATCTGTGTGTCCATCGAGTCGTTTCAGAATCAAAGATATATTACAGAAAGTATTCCATGCAAAACACTCCAAGCAGCTTCCTTCACTGAAAACAGGAAACATCCACGTTATCTTTTCATGTAAGATTCATCATGTGAACCAGAAGCCGTGACATGCATTCTGTTGTTGTTGGCCTGACTTATATTGCCTGAAAACCTAAATAATTAAAGTTCCTGTAGAGCCTATTGCCCTTGCAGTGGATTTTATTGGAATGAATATTTATTTCACAGCCAATTTCGGGGATGTACAATAATCATGTACCATGGCATGTATGTGGCTTGTATTTACATCAGCTTCTGTGAGTCAATGTGCTGCTTTAAATGTAGCTGCCAAAACAAAGGAGATCCTCAAATAGACGACGCTAATAGACACAAAGGTGTTTTTTTTTTAAATAAGCAGTTAATATCCCAGCATGCTTTGAGGCACACATTGTAATTCTGGGCAAAGCCGGTTGCTTGATGTGTTGGTATCGCGGCTTGGGGAAGTCGCTCAGTGACAGAGACAGAGGTGCCTGCTGGCCCCGGTTTGCCAGGCAAAGGTCACTCAGTCGGTTGGATTTAGCTTGCATGTCGTATTCAGTTTGCTGAACAGGGGCACCTTATTACAGCCAAAAATGGAGTTTCGCAAATGGAGTGCCATAAATAGTGCAGCTGGTGGTTGATTGAGTAATGGAAAGAAAATCATATGGTCAGATGAGTCGTGCTTCTCAACGGTAGCTTTAGCAGCGCTTATCCAGGAGATGCTGGTGGCCGGAGAGGCTGCGATCTCACAGTACACCGTCCTGGAGGCTCCGTTTTGGGACTGGCGCCTCACGCTGGCAGAGTTTAGGTCAAACATTCGCTGACCAGGCAAATCCATGACAATTACACATAAATGGTTCCCGAAGTGCAAATCCGTGGCTCACTTTTATGTTTCCCTGAAGAATTAAATTTTTTTTGTATCGAAAGCACCAAATGATTAACAGATCATTCATGAATACTGGGAGGGGCATTTAAATGGAAAAAGGATGGAATGGCAAATGAAAAATGGAAAAGCAGCTGGTTTGGAGTCAATCATACAGCTGAATAGTACCCCCATAGAGCTGGATATTTACGGTTACATACATCTACTGGGAATTTCAAGGCAATCAGCCCACAATTACTACAAATGCGGAACATGCTAAGCTGTGGGCAGTCTAGCAAGGGGAGGCCATGCCTAGCGGGTTCAGGCCTAGCACTGACCAAAAGATGTCGACCCGCAAAGCTCCAAGGAGTCCATCATCAAAGGGGCTGTAGGCATCTGTCTCCACAATAAAGGTACGAGTCAACGATCAGAAAGGAATCGCACAAAGTAGGTCAACATGGGACAGGTAAGCATAATCCCATCTTTTAAAAAAGAATGTAAATGCGCTGGTGTGTTAGACAAGCTGAGTGGAACTATGAGCCGTGGACAGGTAAGTCCCGTCTGGAAGTTTGGGTCCGTAAGACCAAGAACCGGCTTTGAGCAGAAGAACCTCATACCAGCAATGAAAAATCTGAATAACTGAAACTGAACCACAAAAGAATGATGACCCAAGACAACGATGGAGAGTCGAAGCTCAGATGTAACCCTGTTATAATGCTGAAGAAATACCTCAGGCATCACTCAGTTACAGCAGCTCTGTAACTCAGTCTGAGAGACTTACGGGCAAGTAGAATAAAGGCTTAGATTAGGTTATGTCTGTCAGTCTAGCTGACACAGACTGCTGAACTAGTGTCCCCACTGCATTTATGTTAATTTTTATTTAGATATATGCTAATGTGGATATATATATGTGTAGATATTGATGTGTGCATGTGGATGTGTAGGTACAGATGTGGATATATACAAATGTAGTACACATGTAAGTATGTGTAGATATTCATGTGTGTGTATGGATGTGAATGTGTAGATATTCATGCGTGTGTGTGTGTATGTGGATATATACTTATGTGGATGTGCATGTGTAGATATTCATGTGTGTGTGGATGTGTAAGTATGAATGTTTATCTTGCTGGTGGTGCTTTTTCAAGGCAGGCTTATCAGTCTTTCTAGTAACCAAACCACAGGAGTTACAGTAAGCAGAAACAGCGCTAGTTACAGTCACTGCTCACAAAATCGCTGTTCCTCCTTTCCCTCGAGGCTCAGAGCCTGTGTTCTCAGCCGCTAGCGTCTGATCTGATGTCACAGGGGAAATCCCACCTCCCGACCAGAGCAGATGACACTTGTACTCTGTGACAGTCCCTCAGCATCCCTGCATCTGTCGTTCAGCCAGGCAGCAAATCTTTCTAGCTGTGTTTAAGGTACCTTCCATCGCTGTTATAAAGGAGCACTGTGCTGCTCTGAAGGTTTGGCCTCTGACTCTGATAAGAAGGTTACCAGTTTGAATCCTGTCCTGCTTATGGTGCTTAAGCAGAATATTGGTGTGTGTGTGTGTGTCTCGAAGTGCATGTGTGAAAATAAGCATTCCAATGTACTTGTGCAAATGGCAAGCAAAGTATCATTTCATTAGATAGAATCTTTGGGTCTCTTCAGTTTATGGCCAATGACCCAAGACCTAAGCGCAGAGGTGAAGAGCAGTGGTTACTTACTCTTGTGGTGTGTGGGGGATACGTGAGGTACGTATCCACCCTTCCAAACTCCACGGCTACGGTGACTGAGCATTTTCCTCTTTACTGCACCCTCCCTACTGCTATTTGTCAGTCGATCTCGGTCTCTGATTTCAATATCAAGCCAAAAACCTTTTTGCTTGCTCAAGCGTACAACCTTCCCTATCCATAGTATGTTTTGTCGTTTTCTTATCTGTTTACCTTATTCTATGTAAGTGTCTTTGAGATCCTGAAAAGTTCTCAAATGTATTATGTATTATTATTATTTTTAATGTTACTACTACTAGGAACCAATAAGAGAGCTGCTGCATAGACTGTCACATTTAACTCATGCAAGATCGCATGGTTCGGCATGATTGCATGATTCATCACGATAATATTTTTCAGCACGGTCACATGGTTCGACCCGGTCACATGTTTCAGCCTGTACGCCTACCAGAGGGGCAGGGAAAGGGATTCCCACACCAACAACAAATCTTTCCCTACTTTCCCTAACAGCCAGGGCTGGACTGGGATTGAAAAATGGCCTTGAATCCCCCACTGCAAATTTTGCTGACCAGGGTTCCCGTGATAAATTTTGCCAGGCCACAAACCAGTCAGCCCACTGGCAAAATGCCCTGGCCCTGCCCTCACTTCTGAATTTCCCATCATGCAGTGCGTCGGAGGTCAGGCTCAGCAGGCCTTTCCCATTTGCAGCACTTTCACTTCCTGGTACTTAGTGTACACTTTTTAGCCCTGACTCCTGTATACCAGTTTAAGTCGTTGATTCTTATGAATGTTGTCTTTAGGGAGACAGCGAGATCCTGAAAACAGATAACTGGACTGTGGCAGTTAGTTGGGCACACAAAATGCCATTTCTGGTTATATAAACTAAATGTTTTTAATCTACATTTAAAAGCTGACTGAAAGCTCAGAGTCATATAGGAAGCCAGACCTACTGTCAGTGAAGGGTTAGGCACTAGCTAAAAACTCTCTAAATGTCAGCTGATATTTACCATTTTCCTCGTTTTTTTGTCGGTGACACAGAGGTGTCACACTCTGTGCGGTAAATGACAGCAGGGAGCCTTTTCTGTTTCTCATGCCGGCAGGTGGACTATGACCAGCACATACACAGAACATCCTGTTTCCTATCTCACAGCTCTGTTTCAAAGATAACCAAAACCTGTGGCCTTCTCTGAAATACTGCGTTTTGTTTCCTGCCTGTGGCATCGCTGCATGACAGCACTAACGGCCCGTAAGCCAGACCTTTGCTTCAACGGACCTTCTTCACCACAGGGCAGAACCTGGGAACAAAGTACTCAGCCTCATCAGAGCAGCAGAGAATGCGCACCCAGGGCATTGTGGGTAGGACAGGGTGCCACTGCAGTTGTCAGGGTAGACGGCCTCATCTGTCACCTCTGTTACATGGGGGAAGGAGGAAGGAATTGGGGGGTGAGTTTAATGAATGAGCTCATCCCCTGGTTTCCTGCCATGCCGGATTGGCCCCACCTTTTTCCATTTGCTTACTCTATCCTGAAATTAATTTTCAGTTGTGACTATCTAGGGGTTGGTCGCAGGACTTTTAGGAAGTTTATTTATAGTCATCATTAGTCATCTTATGTGCAAGCAGGTGTGACTGGCTGGGTAGCACTGCTACCTCACACCTTTGACATTAGGATGTCAAAGAGCGGCTCCACTCTGTGAGTGCGTCCCCCGCAGTGTGCAGGCTGTGTGGCTGGCCTCTCTGTCTGTAGTATATGATGTGTGTGCATGTGCCCATAGCGTTTAGTCAAGGAGCCCCTGGAGATCTGCCCCTGCTGCCTGCAGTTCTGCCCCTGGGTTTCCTCTGGCTGCTCCAAACCTGCAGTCTATGCAGCATGACAACATGAGGTAAGATAATGTGATGAATGGCTGCACCAGTAGTGTATTA